CCACGTCGACCATCACCTGGTCGTCACCCGGCTCGCTCGCCCGGCACCCGCGGATCGTAGCGTTGCGCAGCTCGAGCGCCGCACCGTTCCCGTTCACCCGAAGCCCAGGCGTACCATGTAGCTCGGCTAGTGCCGTCTCCATCCCGCGCACCTCAACGCCATCGAGCACCAGTCGCCCGACCGTCGCCACCGTCGGCTGCGGATGTTCTGCCACCGTGAACAGGACCCGGCCACGCCCAGCTGCAGCGTCGGCGCACTCAAAGATCACCGAGCCAGGCACTGCCGCACGCAGCACGACCGAATGCGTGAGGACAAAATGCGCGTCAGCAACACACGAGTAGACACCTGGCTCGAGCATCAGCGTGTCGGCGACGCACCGCGAGGAGGCGGCGATGTTGGCGGCGACGCAGGCAAACGAGAAGCGATCCAGCATACACGGCGCTAGCCGTAGATCCAGCGGTCTGGTCTGCGGCGTGTAGACCGTGTCCGCGTCGCGACCGCTCTGCAGGGCAACGCGAACACCGCCCGAGCTATAGGTAACGGCGTCGAGTAGTCCGTCGCCGTTGACATCTGCTACTGCTCTCCAGGTGCGAGTTCCACTCACGGCTGCAGTCATCGCAGACCAGACCAATCCGTCCTTGGTACTGAATACAGTGAAGCTTGCGCTCGAGTACGTGTTGCTGGAGGTAGCAACAACATCGAGCCGTCCATCGCCGTCGACATCGACAATCCCCACGTAATCCATGGCTTGCCCATAGTTCTGAATGTGCTGAATGCTGAACCCACCACTACAGTTCGACTTCCACCACGTAAGCATCAGGGGCTTGCCTGGCACTACCTCACCGTTGCCTCCGCTGACAACTAGATCGGTGCAGCCGTTGCCGTCCATATCTCCGCTGGCAGCAGCAAAGCCACTTGAGGTCACTCTCTTGTTGAGCACCGTCGTCCGCGATGCCTCCCTGTACCCACCGGCATCCGCCACATACACGACAACGTCGGTGTGTGGCGTTACGTCCTCAAACACAACGACGTCCACAGCTGAACTCAAGTTATCAAACTCTCCCACGTACACCTTAGACGACCCGGTGCCGGTAACAGCTAGCTCGCTTGCAATCCCGGTACCGGTGTAGAGAAACAATGCTGTGAGACTGTCGCTCGAAGTCAACACATCCGGGCTTCCGTCACGATTCGCATCAACGATCAAGATCTTGCGGATGCCGGTGAGCGTCGTCAGCGGGCTTGAGATGGCGCGGCCACTTCCGAATCGCCCCCTCCCATCCTGATTGGCATGCCACGCCAGTGCCGCCGCCGCCACAACCACGTCCAAATCGCCGTCATCGTCCATGTCAGCTACGGCAACGTACGACGCCGTCGTCGTGCTCACCGGTGTCAACGCACCAAACGAGACTTCGCCGTTGAGGTTAGGAAGCCAGCCGACGACGTCGGGCGTGCGGATCACCGCATCAGTATCGCCGTCGAGGTCGAGATCGGCCAAGACAACATCCAAGACCAGCTCATGGTACACATTCGTTCCGCGCGCAAAGCCAACACCTGACATAGGAAGCGCATCAGCCGTCTCAAACCACGTGACGGTACTAGAAGTTGCGACAAACAAATCATCATCGCCGTCGCCATCCATGTCGACAACCGTCAGCTTTCCGCCGTTGTCCGCAACTTGCTCGACCTCGGCCACTGCGCCGCCGCGGAATGCATATGTGTTCGACTTGGTGCTGCTGCTCGATGCTGACACTACCAGCCCTCGCGCAGGCGTAATGGCAACGTCAACAGGTACACCCAAAGGCACAGAGACCTGCAGGAGCGGTCCAAATCCGCGCGCTCCATCGCCGCGCATCCATCCCCCACCACTGGACGAGACAACACCGATATCATTCGTGCCATCGCCGTCAACGTCGCCAACCGCGACGCCCACAAGATTCGAGAGAGGCACATCCACCACAGCACTGCTCCAGGTGCCAGCAGCTTCAGCGTACCACACAACAACTGCTTCATCGTTCCAAACCAGCACGTCTGGCGCACCAGCTCCATCAACATTGCCGCATACCGCCCCTCGCGCACCAAAGAGCCGAATGGACGAGTCTGGCAACGCAATGCCTGAAGAGCCGTTGCCAGGTATCCAGATCACAGTCCCGTTGCTGGTCACGGCCGCAACGCCGGAGCCATCCGGCACTGCACACAGTGCGGCAATGCTCGCGCTCGTGTCAGACACGTTGGCAAGCGTAGAAATGTTCCACGCCAGCCCGTCGCTCGCTGCCAACACTACCGCGTCTGCGCAGGCAGCAACAATATCAGCAGAACCGTCGCGGTTGACGTCGACGAGCTCAAGTCCCACCACCGCCCCCGCTCCAGACAGTCCGGCATCCACATGCCGCGGCCCGGCGTAGCTGTTGATCGTAAGCGCCTCGACAAGGACCACACTGCCATCTGAAGCAAGGTAGACTACATCGCCGTCGCCGTCGCCGTCCACATCGCCAGCTGCTACAATCGATCCCGTTGGCGTCACAAACGGCGCTTTCGTTGTAGTACCCACCTGTTGCCGCGGCGTCGTTATCCAGTCGGACACATTCGATGGCGAAACAATCAGTTCCATGGTGGAATCTAAAGCAACTATAACATCGCGAACGTCGTCGCCATTGATGTCGACTGAGACAAATGACCAGCTGCCGCGGTTGGGTAGCACGTACTCGTGGACGTCAAAGTTGCCTGTCCCGTCATTAACAGCCCTCACGAGCCGGGCCTCGGACGATGACTGCCTGTACACGTACTCAATATCCACATCGGTGTCGTTGTCGAAATCTGCAGCAATAAACCGAGACTCGACGGCGCGGGTCGTGAACGACGGCATCTGTGAAAACGAGGCCCCGTTGTTACGGAACCAAGCTACTCCCCAATCCGATCTCGTACCCAGCACCACATCGTCCAGGCCATCCCCATCGATGTCGGCAGCACCCATTGACGACAGAAGCTTAGAAATTGGAAACGCCGTCATCTCATCTTGTACACCGCTTGCCCCATACGACCCATAAAGGATGGCATCTGGGGTGGCACCGATGCCGTCTTGATAGTAGATGAGCTCCAGCTGCCCGTCACCATCCAAGTCGCCCATCGTTACGATAGTTCTCCTCCTGGACGCCCCCATCACAACTTCTGGAAACCGACCATCGACGTTGAGCGCCCACCAGAACTTGCCAGCATCACCCAATGACCACACCAGGTCTAGATCGCCGTCCGCATCGATGTCTGTGGCCAGAATGCGTGGGTAGAAGTTCATGGTAGAATCAGTCCCTAGGACTCGCCGCCGTGCAAACTCGCCGCCGCCCCGGTTCTCATACCACACAATCGCCCGCAATGGTACAAATGAGCACGCCGCCACGTCCACTACTCCGTTCCCGGTCAAGTCTGCTACCACCAATGCAGCAACACGGAGGTTGCCAGATGTGGTATCGGCCGCCTCGATGACGCCATGGCCCGAGAACCCGAGCGCTGGGTGAGCGTTGGCCAACCACATAATGGCGGCTCCTGTGCCAGTCACCACCACGTCAATGTCACCATCGCCATCCACATCGCCAGCTTCCATCGGAGTAGTCAGCGAGTATATGCCCGGCCACACGACATGCTTCGCCAGCGGCGAGGCCGCTCTACATTGGCCGATTTGTGGTGTCGCCAACTCGGCAGCAACGACACCACGTGCAGACCCCAGCACCACGAGTGACACTAGCACCAGCACCGCGTACAAAGGAAACAACCCCATTGCCACAGTTGGAAGTGAAATGAGACGAGTGTGTCGATTGGTCTTCAAGACAGCTGTCTGTCATCCGTGAGTGCCCATGCCCGCACCGCTCGTCCCTCGTCACCCTGGTGGTGGAGCCAGCACGTGCCGTCGCCATCTTCACTGGAAGAACAGCGAAGTTTTATATTTTGAAACGGACGTCCACGACAGCAACGACATCACAAAGCATTGAACCAGTCTGCACCACCGCTGTGTGTTACTTGGCCTGCGGTGGGGTTCGCCTGCGGTGCTAGCTGGCACGGTGTGCATCTCACGTCAAACAAGGAGCCGGCCTCACGAGGCCGATGAACTCGACGATGAACTGGACGACGAACTGGATGATGAGTCCGACAACACCTGTACGCCCTCCACAACCAGCGTCGACGGTGCAAGAGCAGAGTCAAGCGTACTCAATTGCCCAAACGACGGGTGTGGTGAGACGGTGTGGCCCGGGCTCGCCCCGACCGACGACAGCGCAAGCTCATTGCCGCTGCCGAGCGTCTCCCACGCCACGCCTTCAACCATCACCGTGCCCATCTCCACGCTTGCGCTCCGCGGCCTCTCGCCAGACGCACTCGCAAGCGCCGTCGCAAACCCGCCGGCCACAAAGTACTCCGCGTCCTCGATCGCCTTCTCGCTCCGCTGCATCCGCCACAAATCGTACCCGTTGCCGCTGACAAGCGCAATCAGAATCACCACCACCCATGTCGAGACCCACGCCATCCGCAGCGGTGCGTCCTCAAACGTGCCCGCATAGAGAACGAGCGTCGTCGCCGCCAGCACTAGCATCGCCAGCCGATTGTGGAAGTCCGACGCATACGGCCGGACGTACACGAGGTGTGCAAGAGCGAGCCCGAGCGCAATCACGCCCATCCGCGCCTTGCCCTCATCGGTAAACATGAAAGTCATGCAGAGGACCAGGCCCGCCTTGCGCGCCATGATCGCCGTCTCGAACCACCATCCGCTCTCGCTGAACCGTCCCACAAGGAACCCATACCTGAGCACAAACGACACGGGCTCCATCGCCCGTCGCCGTGACATCAGCACCCAGCCCACAAGCAGCGGCAGCCCAAACGCATACACTCCGATTGCAGCCAGGCTTGGCCCAAGCAGTCCGCGCACCCATGCGCTGTTGTAGCAGCTCCGTGACGGGTCCGCGCTCAGCTGCCACCGCCCACTCGCGTCGCGCTTGCACCCGAATGGCGCCATCGCCGCAGACGTCAGCGGCAGGTACAGCAGCACCACAATCTGAAACTGCGTCCGCCAGCACGCCGACACCAGCTGCCGCAGATTCTTGCTTCCGAACCAGCTCACGCCCTGGGCGATGAGCAGCCCGTACACCGCTGCCGCCCCGCAGATCGCCAAAGCCACAAACACAGGCAGGATGAGCGTGAGCGCCCACTTGAGCACCCATACGTCCGCCCCGCGAACCAGCGAGCACTCGGGACTCGTCAGCTCCACGTCCAGGTTCACCGCAGACGCAATGTCAAAGTACACCCGAGCCACAGGGCCCCACTCAAAGTCGAGCCGCCCGTAGATCGCGCTCATCTGCAACCCGTTGAGCCCAATCATCGCCGCAACAAACTTGTATCGCAGACCCTCCGTCAAGTTGAACGCCAGCAGCACGCCGGTGACCACCAGCGCTCCAATCAGTAGCGCTACCGTCACCATCGCGTTGGCCACCGGTCGGCACTTGCGGCACCGCCCGCCGAGCGCAAAGTAGCCATCCGCACACTGGGCGCACAGCCGCGCAGTGTATCCCGCCGCACATTGCCCGCTCCCGAGACATGCCTCGCTCGCCGGACACGCCACAAACACCGCTTCGCTGTCCGCGTCAGGGAAGAAGCCGGGCGCCGCACGCGGGCTGTCCAGCCCGCCATCGCACACGCCGCCGCGCGGGCACGCATCGCATGCCACTCCACTCCGTCCGGTTCGCGACCAGAACCCAGGCTTGCATACGCAGTCGTCAACCCCGCTGCCGCTCGTCACGTTGATCGCACCGCTTCCTGCAAGTCGCTGCGTGTTGAGTGGGCAGCTCGGCACCGCCACGCATCCGTCCAACGACACGCTCGTCGACATCGTGCCCTCCACACACGCCGCGCACACCACAACGTCCACAACCATGTTGCCCGACACTGTGCTCTGCACCGACGCTCCGGCCCCCATCCCGCACCCGGTCACTTCGAACGCTGCTGCCAATCCGCCCACTGTGTGTCCGCCGCTCCGGCTCGTCACTGCCTCCACCCGCATCGACACCGGCGCAGGGAGTGGCACCGACGATGCCACTGACGCTAGCACAGACACGCTCACGCCTGGCACCGCCGTCACTGCCTGTGACATGGCACTCGTGGTCTCGCCGCTCACAAGCATCCCGCTCGGTGCGTCTACAACAACCGCCACATCAAGCTCCGGCTCGATGTGCTCGCGCCCGAGCCAGTCAACTCCGACCACCGTCGCTCGCGGCCCGTCCCCGCTCGTGACCGTGCCGGCCGGCGCCGTCACCCACTCGAGCCGGCTCAGAGGTGCCGCGATGCGGGTCCCCGAGCTGGCTGTCAGCACCTCAGCTGCTGCATCGCTCGCCACACGCAGCCATGGCACTGTCTCGGGCCCTGCCAGCGACGCCGCCACTCCCTCGGCTGCGCACACAAACACGTCGTCGCGCCCGGCGTTGTCGCGCCACCGTGTCGCTGCTCCGGACACCCCCACGCCCTCGCCGCAAACAGCAAGCCCGTGTCCAAACGTCCCGGCCGTGTTGCCCGTGATCACGCAGTCGCTGAGCCGGTTCGCCGCAGCGTAGCCCGCCTTGGCCCGCTCGGCATCGCCACTTACAGCCGTCACCTCGGGCACGTCAACCGAAGCCCGCGCCACCGCCAGTCCGCTCGACACGCTGCTCGCCACAATCGCGAGCCCGCCGCCAGCTGACCCAGCCCGGTTGCCGCGGACAGTCACCCCGTCGAGATCGGCCTGTGATCCGCCCACAACATGCAATCCGCCGCCGCTACCGATGCCCCCCGCCGTGTTGTCGCTCACCTCGCCGCCGACCATGGCTAGCGCCGCCCCGCCCGGCCCCACCCACGCCCCGCCGCCGTCGCCGCTTGCTGTGCAGCCGCGGATGACCGTCCCGTCACGCACCTCCAGCCTCGCGCCACCGCTGACAGACACCCCGCCGCCGCGCCCTGCCATGCTGCCGTCGATCACACTCTTTTCGAGCTCGGCCACAGTCCCGCTCCCGCGCACCGCCAAGCTTCCGCCCTCGCCCGCTGCGCTGTTGTCGGCAAACAGGCTCCCGGTCGCCGCCACCCGTCCACCGCCCGACGCCAGCACCGCTCCGCCCACGCCCACGTCGACCATCACCTGGTCGTCACCCGGCTCGCTCGCCCGGCACCCGCGGATCGTAGCGTTGCGCAGCTCGAGCGCCGCACCGTTCCCGTTCACCCGAAGCCCAGGCGTACCATGTAGCTCGGCTAGTGCCGTCTCCATCCCGCGCACCTCAACGCCATCGAGCACCAGTCGCCCGACCGTCGCCACCGTCGGCTGCGGATGTTCTGCCACCGTGAACAGGACCCGGCCACGCCCAGCTGCAGCGTCGGCGCACTCAAAGATCACCGAGCCAGGCACTGCCGCACGCAGCACGACCGAATGCGTGAGGACAAAATGCGCGTCAGCAACACACGAGTAGACACCTGGCTCGAGCATCAGCGTGTCGGCGACGCACCGCGAGGAGGCGGCGATGTTGGCGGCGACGCAGGCAAACGAGAAGCGATCCAACATACACGGCGCTAGCCGTAGATCCAGCGGTCTGGTCTGCGGCGTGTAGACCGTGTCCGCGTCGCGAGCATTCTGCAGGGCAACAAATAATCCATTTGAGAACGTCGACGACCGAGAAAAGACATCCAAATAGCCGTCGCCGTCAACATCGACTGCCGCAGTTGCTACTCGAGACTGGAGCGAAGCTGTCTGGCGCCGCACGGCGCCGAACCCGTCGACGCTGCTGTATACGGTCACTGTGTCTTCTGTCGAGACGACAATGTCCAGGTTGCCGTCGGCATCCATATCTGCAAGTACAATTTCGGATACAACGTCCGCATAGTCAAAGTAGGTGGCAATGTCAACCGTGTCGTCAAAGCCACCCAAACAGTTCGACGGGAGCACCAAAAGGGACCGCTTCGGCTGGCCTTCAGTAGACGCACCAACAGTCACCAGGTCCAAACAGCCATCGCCGTTCACATCGCCGACATCGGCAACTGGAAGGAAGCACAATGACGTCTGGAAAGCCATCCAGGTTAAAATCACCGACAGAAACCGAGGATGTAACGCCCATGCCGAGCGTGAATGAAACTTTCAGGCGGCGACACAAGCGACACAACAAGGACGTCTAGATGTGAGGTGAGCGCGTCCATGTGACCCAGGAAGACTTGGTACCTGACAAAAGCCGCATCAGGCACAGGGGCCAGGCTTCCAACATGAACAGCATCAGCAAAAGTGGCTCCAACGTTGCGATAGTACACGACGTCGTTGGTGGCACCAGAGGAGCCGATGGCCACCACATCTGGCCACGAGTCGGCATCGACATCGCCCACAGCAATGTGGTTGATGGAGACGAGCCCGGCCGGGTGGAACTGCTGCTGTGAGCCAAAGCCTCCACGTCCGTTGTCGTTGAATAACAAGACCAGAGGGTCAACCGAGGCAGATCCGACAACCAGGTCAAGGTCGCCGTCGTGGTCAAAGTCGGCAGCAGCCAGACCAAGTGGTGAAACAAAGGCGGCAATGTCATTGAAAGACGAGAATGACGAAAGGCCGTCAAGGTTGGCGAGCCAGCCAAGAGTTGAGCCTACAAAGCCGACCACATCCAGGTCACCATCGAGATCAAGGTCGACAATGACAGGTGAGAACGGCACGCTGGCAGTGACGAGTTCTGGCTCGGAGAACTCCAGCTGCCTATCCTCAACGGCAAGGACGGCCTGGGACTCAAGCCAGAACACGGCCGAGCCCAGGTTCCAGCCGATGACGTCGTCATGGCCGTTGCCGTCGGCGTCGGCAAGAGCAATGCCGTCGGCTCCAATAGACGAGGTGAGCAAGGAGTTGTCGTCAGTCAAGCCGTCGCGGAAGGCATACATGCCCTTGTTCCTTTGCGAGACAATGATGCCGCGGATCGGATCGACGGCGAGTCCTTTCGGACTGCTGAGCGAGTCTGGCAGGTCTAGTCGGTGGAAGTCCGAGAAGGCGGCCGAGCCAAGGTTTCGCCGCCACGCAACGGCGGCGTTTGTGGTGGAGAGCATGACCAGGTCTGCGAGGCCGTCCCGATCAACGTCGCCAAGAACCACTGCTGAGACAGAGGTGAACGGCAGGGATAGGTTCATCGGCGCACTCGCCGACGAGATCCATAGCACGAGCTGTGCATCCGTCCAGCCCACGACATCAGGCTGTAAGTCGGCGTCAATGTCGCCGCAGGCCAGGCCGCGAAGAGTCAGCGAGTCGAGGATGGTGTGCTCTAGGAGCGAGATTGCACCACTCGACGTGGGAATCCAAGCGATTGATCCGTTGGCGAGGCCAAGCGCAGCGGCCGAGCCGTCCGGCGCAACAGTCAGGGCCACAAACGTGGTGCTCCACGGCAATCCAGAGGCAAGAATACTCGGTGGGCTCCACACACGCCCTTGCCCATCGCTGTTGGTGAGCGCGACAAGCGTGGTGGCCGACGCCGCCATCACATCGACATCGCCGTCTGCGTCGACGTCGACGAGAGCCATGCCCAGAACCGGCTGGCCATCGAGGCCGAGCTCGACAACGGTGGTCACATCGTACCAGTCGGTCTCGAGAGTGTGGACAATGAGTGCGGTTCCGTCGTCTTTGGCAACGACAATGTCTGCATGCGAGTCGGCATTCAGGTCCGCGACACTGACGGCAACTGCGTTGGCTGCTGGATCGGTCCAGGTGGTGAGTGGGAACGGTTGAACAGCACCCCAATCGGTCGATGAGTTGCTACGTGGGTTGATGAGGACAAGCGGAGTGATGCCTCCTTGCACAATGACGTCTGGAAAGCCATCCAGGTTAAAATCACCGACAGAAACCGAGGATGTAACGCCCATGCCCACATCAAAGGCGGAAAAGACTCCGTTGCCGTCGTTGACAGCGATCTGGACGCTATCACCAGGCGCAGATGAGGCCTTTGGACCTGTGCCGTACATAAGATCGAGATCGCCGTCACTATCAACGTCGACTGCGTGGATCTGTGACAAAGAGGCCGGCCTCCTGTTAGAGGCAAAGGAAACTGTACCTCCCGTGGCGAAGCTTGAGCCGGTGCTTCTGCGCCAGATGAGGCCAGTTGAGTGAAGGATGGCGACGTCGTCTAGGCCGTCGCCGTTGAAGTCGCCGATGACTGTGTCCCTGATGTAGTACTCGACAGAGTGGACCTTAGCATTGCTCGTTTGACCAAGGATGACGTAGCGAAGGGGGTCTCTGAACGAGCTGGTGTAGTACAGCTCGGGCACTCCGTCGTTGTTAGTGTCTCCGACATCAACAGAAAAGAGAGCGAACGCGCTTCCGCCATAGATGCGTGCGGGAAACGAGCCATTGACATTGTACGCGTAGAACATGTCGTCGATGTTGTCACTGGTCCAGACGAGGTCAAGATCGCCATCGTTGTCCAGGTCATAAACGACAACATCGACGTCGCCAGAGATTACCGAAGAGTCAATGGCGCGGCGGGATGAGAAGCGGCCGCCACCGAGATTGGCATACCAACTCAGCCCGTGCTTTGGATTAGGTATACCAACGACAAGGTCCGGGCCATGTTGGCCAGTCAGATCTCCAGCAGCGAGCCCTGCGATGCGCAAGCTGTCGCCATCAATAGCCGAGACAACGACACGCGAAACGTTGGCAAAGCCAACGACGGGAAAAAGGTTCTCGACCCAGACGAGAAGCCCAGCATATGTGCCGAAAGCCACATCGATGTCGCCGTCGGAATCAAAGTCAGCCGTCACCAATCGCATGACTGCGGTCATTCCCCCAACCGAGTGCAGCGGTAGCGCCACTTGGGGGCGACACTGGGCGATATTGGGTGTTGCTGAAGACAGCGAGGCAGCGGCCACCAAGGAGCCCGACAAGACTGATGACTCTGCAGCAATGAGGAGAAGGAGAAGAAGCGAGAGAAAACATGTTGGAGCACCCATGGTGGTAGTGATGGAATGGTAGGGGAAGAAGGTTGAAGGGGGGGGAGTTGGGTCTGCTTATGCTTGTGTTGGTGTGGTAAAAGGACTGGGGAAAGGGGAGGGGGGGGGGGGGGCAGGTGGTCCGCACGTGCTCGTGCTCCACCACCGAAAAAGGGGGAGGGGGGGAGACAGCTATCGAGAAACGTATTTTGGGGAATTCATGAGAGGAAAGGATGCGAAGCTGGCGATGGGCGGAGGAGGGAGGTCGGACATGGATCGAGGGTGCAGTACGGCGGAAGAGTAAAGACGGAGGCAGGGATGGGCTTGGTCGAGTACGAGTGGGGCGAAAACCAGTAGTCCTGGGTGGCGTTGGGGAAGGAGAAGCGGAGCGGGATGGCCGGGTTGCCTGCCGGAGCCACCTCGTTCCAGTATCCGTGCCTACCGTAGAGCCATTGATCAGCGGCGACGCCATCGATGGTGGCTGAGCCGACGTAGTCGAGGACTGCTGTCCAGTCGGGCGGGTTTGGGCCGACGCCGGGGACGGAGAGGCAGCACGAGCGCTGGTGTGGGAGATCGATGACCATGCCGCGTGGGAGAAAGTACTCTGTGCATGCTGCCGAGGTGTTGTAGAAGCGGATGCACTCGTGGGCGCCCGGCCCGTGGTCGATCCGCACCGCCCTAGTCGGATAGTCGTAGTACATCATGCCGGTGTTGACGGCACTGGCTGCGTCATCGATAACCTCGATGGCATCACCTGCACCCGTGCTGGTCGTGGCCGGAATGCCCGAGACAAAGGCGATGGTGAAGGTCGATGCCCATGGAGCGCAGGTACGCGGCGAGGATGCGGTGGTGGCGGCGGTGAGGACAGCAAAGACAGTGAAGAAAGCGAGGACGGGGAGGAAGAGGTCGGGTTTGGGACGGGGAAGAGGAAGAAGCATGGTGTAGGGGAATGGAGGGGTTGGGGGGAGTAGGTTGGGGGCGTGGGGGGAGGGTGACGTGGGCGGCGTGCAGCACTGCTGCCGGCTAGCCGGCTGACCACGGTAGCTAGCCACGCTGGTCTGCGGGAGATCGGAAGAGGAGATGGGAGAAGTCGGACGAGATGGAGAAAGGGGGGAGGAGGATGTGAGCGCGTTCTGTTGTTTTGGTTTATCCCTAGAGGGACGACCACGACTTAGCGGTACTTGTGGAAGCCGATGTCGTTGGCCTTCTCGCGGAAGCACTGACGGCAGATCATGAGGCCGTACTTGCGGATGATGGCATGGCCGTTACCGCACACGCGGCACGAGCGCGAGCCAGGGCCAAAGTTGCGGGGGTGCGAGCGCCAGAGGTTGGTCATGATGCACTGTAGACGCGAGGCCCCGACGAGGTCAGACACAAGCACACAACAGCAGCACCAAGAGCAGCATCCATCCAGATGATGCACATGGAAGGAGTGCGAGCAGACGAGCAGACGAGCATATGACCACCGAATGGAGAGCAAGGATAAGGGAGGGGGGGGGAGGAGGGTGACGCGACGAGGTTCAAGAGTGAGTGGGAGGTCCGAGGTAAGAGGGAGGGGAGGGGGAAGTGTGGATGCCGAGGGTGGGCAGGGGAGGAGGTGAACCCACAGTATGCACCCGGTGGGGAGGGCGCGCAGGGTGCACATAGTCGGGCCCGGGCAGGAGGAGGGCGAGAGGGTGGTGCGGGGTGCGGGGTGCGGGGTGTGGGGTGCGAGGTGGGAGCGCAAGGGTGTCTGATTAAAAAGTGTATGCATGGCGTAGACGAGCGGGCCCAAGGAGGCAAAGGCAGATGGTTGTGGCAAAGCAACCACACTGAGGCCAAGCATACATGCACAGCTATGCGTCGTGCAAGCTGTGCCTGTATGGCTTGGATATTTCATGCGTATGGGCCCCTAGACTGGGAGGAGGCGGGCGAGGCAGGCTCCGATCCCGAGGCAAAAATACCCTCCCCGAGTCCCACCACGGCCAGCCACAGCTGGTATGCACAAGCGAGAGAGCGAGACACGAGGACATACAGCTAGGCTGGCTGTTCATGGGACGAGGAAGGGGTGGGGTGGGGTGGGCATGTTGTCGCGGTCGGCAGGTCGCCGGTCGCATCATGCAACTTACAGTCAGCGAGAGAGGGATGGCCGACTGAGGAGAATGTTGGAGGAGACCAAAGGCGAGCAGTCATTTAATCGATGGATGAGGATTGGAAAGAGGGAGAAGAAATGAATGGCTGCCATTGGCGACAATAATCGATGGCAGCCGACAATCGATGGCAGCCGACAATCGATGGCAACCACACAATAATCGATGGCAACAATCAACGGATGACTAGCTACGGAGCTACAGAGTGGGGATGGAGAACACGATGGCTGCAGGGCCGAGGAGGTAGCTGGCTGGGATCGGGGACCAGACTGGGCATCGGCAGACGCGTGTCAGTAGTGAACGGTGGCAATTGCCCTGCGAGTGGGCGAGTGTCACACGCCACTGCCCCACGGCCGACGCCACGTGACTCGCTCCCTGGTCTGGACGGAGGACGGGGTGGCAAGGATGCTGAGGACACTCCGGTCATCGTCGTCGTCGTCGTCGACGGGAAGCATAGCGGCTTTGCCGAGGTCTGCGTCGACTTGTTCGTCGGATGGTGGCTCGCCGTTCCCCCTGCCGGCAAGCACGGCAGGCGGCCGCAGAGCGCGTGGCGGTGCGGCGGCAGAAGCAGGAGTCGGGGCGGGGACTGTGGCTGGGCTAGGGGATGGTGCCGGTGCTGGGGCTGCAGCTGGAGTGACGGCAGCAACGCCGCTGCTGGCGGGAAGCGGGCGCGGCGGAGGCGGTGATGGCGAGCTGGGCCTCGGGCTCGGGCTCGCCGGTGAGGGCGGCGGCGGCTACGGGCTCGCTGGTGGGGACGAGGTGCTGGTGCTGGAGCGGCGAAAGGCGCCGCTGGTGGCGTCGTGCATGGCCGTGGTGGCACGGTTCAAGTTCCGACTCGGGCTGACGGCCGGCGTGCTGGCGCTGCTGCTTGTGGGCGCGGTCTTCTTCTCGTCGGCGTCGTCGGCCGAGACAGAACCGGGCGACGAGCTGATCGGCGTCGGGCGTGGCATGCCGTACAAGTGGATGGTGGACATGTCCGGCCCGCTAGCATACTTTAAGGTTGTCGTCACCGGGCCGCCGCGCGAAAAGCTAGGTGGGAGTGGGAACGCCACGGGCTCGGCCGTCCACATCGACGTGGCGCTCATTGCGGTGGTGGACGGGGTGGAGAGCGCGGTCGGCGACGCTTGGCGGATTGAGCTCGAGAGCGAGGAGTCGACCGAAGAGGAGAAACGGATTCCCGGGCCCGACACGCATTTTGACGCGCTGCCGGGCGCGCCGTACCTGTTCTTTGAGATCTCGACCAACTCGCCGACCCCGATCGGCCTGCAGCTGCATGTGGTGCAGCTCTCCGAGGCCGCGGCGTACCAGGTCCTGTTTGCCGCTGTCATTCTTGTGGTCGTCTACGTCTTTATCGTCTTTGAGCTCCTGCATCGGGTCATTGCCGCCATGCTCGGCTCGTTCATTACGCTCGCCACGCTGGCGGCGATCGACGAGCGGCCATCGCTCGAGACCATCATCGGGTGGATCGAGTACGAGACTGTGTGCCTCTTGTTTGGCATGATGGTCATGGTGGGTATTTTCTCGACAACCGGCTTCTTCGAGTGGGTGGCGGTCAAAGCGTACAAGTTCTCCAACGGCGACATCAACCGCCTTGTGGTTGTCCTCTGTGTCTTTACGGCCATTCTCTCGGCGTTTCTGGACAACGTGACCACCATCCTTCTTCTCACTCCGGTCACCATCCAGCTCTGCACGGTGCTTTCGATCGATCCGGTGCCGCTGCTGGTGGCCGAGGTTGTCTTTTCTAACATTGGTGGGACGGCAACCGCCATCGGCGACCCACCCAACGTCATCATTGTCTCAGACTCGCGGGTCTCGGCCGCTGGGGTCGGCTTTCTGGACTTGACGCTCAACCTCGCACCCGGAGCCATTTTGGCGACGCTCGCGGCGTATGTCTTCCTCAAGTGGCAGTACGGCGGGCTGTTTGACAACGTCAAGCCGCTCACGCCGCTGGAGCAAGAAGTGGAGGTCTGGCGCAAGACGCTGAAACGGACGCCGGTCGGCTCGACGCCCGAGGAGGCGCGGGTCCGCGAGCTTCTTGTGGCGCACATTGAGCAGCTCGAGGATCTGGTGGCGGCCGAGGCGAACGAGGGCGGCGGCGGCAACGTGTCGATTGCGGCGCTCGAGGCCAAGTACAAGATCCACGACGCACCGCTGTTTGTCTCGTGCGCCACCGTTCTCTTTGTGGTTATTCTCCTCTTCTTCCTCCAGTCTGTGTTCAAGATCAATCTCAACTTGGCGTGGATCTCCATCCTGGGCGCGCTGACAATGCTCATCGTCTCTGGCATCCACGACATTGAGGAGGTTCTGGAAAAGGTCGAGTGGGGCACGCTCCTCTTTTTGCCTCGCTCTTCATCCTCATGGAGGGTCTCGGCGAGCTCGGGCTCATCACGTACATTGGCGACGTCACGTCCGAGGCCATCAAGTCGGTGCCCGCCCAGTCGCGGCTCGCCGTTGCGCTACTGCTCATCCTCTGGATCTCTGCGCTTGTCTCGTCGTTCCTCGACAACATCCCGTTTGTGACAGCCATGATTCCGGTGGTTCTCCAGCTCGGCTCGGACCCAGAGGTGAACCTCCCACTGGCGCCGCTGGTCTACGCACTTGCCTTTGGCTCGTGCATGGGCGGCAACGGCACCCTCATCGGTGCGTCGGCAAACGTGGTTGCTGCCGGTCTTGCCCTGCAGGCTGGCCACGACATCTCGTTCAACCGCTACTTCCGGACAGGCTTTCCGGTCATGATTGTGAGCGTATGCGTGGTGAGCCTTTACCTCATGGTGGTTCACGTCTGGATCCTGGGCTGATGAGAGGTCTTGCACAGTTACACACAACCCGCGAGTAAATATGTGCAACTTGTGTTTGTTGGTAGGATAAGAGAGACGGCGAGAGCTTGGGGTTGGTTGTTTGTTTGTTGGTACACTCTGTCGCATGTCGGCTCCGACGACGGTGTGTCATCGCCGCGGACGGAGGCGGCAACGGCACGGCAAGACACGGCAAGACAGGGCAAGGCAGGGCTTGGGCGCGAAACCGGGAGTTCGACAGTAGCGGCAGGGAGGGAGGCATCTACTCGTAGTACTCGTACTCCTCCTCGTCGTCATAGTACTCGTACTCGGCAGCAGCGACAGGGGCGGCATCGTTGGACGCCTTCTTGGTCGAAGTCGGGCTGTCGCCGCGGTTGGTCGAGTCGCCGACGCGGTAGAGCCAGCCCAGAGCAAAGAACGGGATGGAGGCGCCGGCGGCGAGAACGCCGATGGCCAGGTCGTACTTGTAGGCGCCGTCGCCAAAGAGCAGCTCGTTGTTGTAGATCATCTCCGAGTCAAAGGCATGGAGGATGCCGACAATGGCAGCGACGAGAACCGGGGCGATAAAGGCAAACGGACGAACGCCAGAGACGAGCTCCATAAAGACAATGGGCATGCCGAGGCCGAGGGACATGATCGGCGTGAGGGCGACGTTGGAGACGTCGACGAGCCAGTCGTCACCAATGGCAAAGACACCGACGCCGACAACAGTGAAGAAGACCATGGCGAAGCGGGCGTACTTGACGCGGGCCGGGTCGACGGCAGCCTTGGAGAACGGCGACACGGGCTTGTGCTTGTCACCAAAGATGCCGGCGAGGTCAAAGGCCACAAACTGGCCAGCCGAGACCAGGGTAGCGGTGAGGGCGGTGACGCAGAGAATGAGCTGACCGTAGCCGATCATGGCATAGGTCAGGTTGTCAAAAGCAAAGAGCGAGTAGTAGGTCGGCAGAATACCGCTCCACACCGAGCCGGTGCTCTGCACAACCTGGAGGAAGGCATGGAGGCCGGCGGTCGAGTGAGCAGCAATGACAACGATGGCAGCGACAAAGGCCGAGCAAAAGGCCCACGCCATCTTGAGCGGCGACGCGAGGAACGCGTGGTCCATGATGACCGGGTCGTGCCACGGGTAGGCAAACAGGCCCTGGATACCGGTGAGAATGAGGAGGTCCATGCCGTACAGCTGCGAGTCGGGCGTCTTGATCGAGAGGGACATGTAGTCGACGCACGAGGCCTCGCTGCGGTTGCACAGCTCGACATCTTGCAGAGCGAGGACAACCACAAGAACAAACGAGAGCGCAGCGGCGACAAGCATCGACCAGCGGCGGCCGCCCGTCATCGCCGCCACAAGCGGAATGCCGGCGAGGAGGCCGACGGCAATCCAGTAGTCGGTGTTCCGCTGCGACGAGACATCAGCGAGCGAGACGCCCGTCGTGACGACGGACGCCTCAGTCTGCGAGTAGGCGCCGGCCGCACCAAACATGGCGGCGCCGGCGGCAATGTTCTGCCAAACGAGCTGGTGGATGCGGTAAGCAAAGATGAGCGCGTAGAGAACGCAGGCGTAGACGCCGTAGCGGTCGTGGACAGCCTCAAAGATCGATGTGTAGCCGTAGTTGGTGCGGAGGCGGTAGACCACAACGGCGACGACAAGGAAGCCGACAAACCAGCCGGTGTAGGCCATGGCGCCGATGGCGCCCCAACGCGAGGCCTCGAGGCCCGAGCTGGCCACAATGTACCCGGTGACGGTGCCCATGACGAGCGAGAGCGTGGTGAGCACGTAGCCCGGCTTGGAGGCGGGCGTGGCACGCGGCGAGGTCGGCACAGCTGCGGCAGCCGGTGCCGGCGCTGCCTCCTCGTCGTCGTAGTAGTACTGGTACTCGTCAGACTCCTCGTACACGTACTCGTACTGCTGCTCCTGCTCCTCCGAGTAGTACTCGTACTCGCCCTCGTCCGAGTAGTACTCGTACTCGCCCTCGGGCTCGGTACCGTACACGGCCCGGCCTTGTCGTCAGCACCTGCAGCGCCGACCACGGGCACGGCGTAGCCAAGGAAGAACGATGCCGGGTAGATGAGGTGCGGGAACGGCGCGAGCGCCAGGAGCACCAGGCCCACAAACAGCATGCCCTGCCACATCAGCTGCTCCTTGACGTAGTTGGTCTCAGTGTCCGGCAGGAGAAAGTACAGCACAAGCTCGGTGGCGATGATCGCCACCGCCACAAAGTAGGTGCGAACGTTGAGGAACATGGCCTTGATATGCTCACCGTCACACCCGTACCCAAGGTACCCGAGCGGACGCCCGCAGCAGGACCCATCCTCACCTCCAGCCATCTTCAGTCGTGCGAGCAAAATGTGAGTGGGGAGTGTCTGCGACGAGTGTCGGCTGGTAGAGAGAGAGAGGGGGGGGGGGAGAAGATGGAGGGAGAAAGGGACTAGGACCCGCTGGGGCAGGGCCTGGCTGGAGGGGCTGGGCCACCGACCGCGCCCAGCAAAACGGCCACAAAATTAGTGACATTGGCCAACTGCCTCCGCCAACGGTCGTTTGATCAAGAGCGCCAGCATCCCAGAGTGGGGGGGGGGGGGGGGAGAGAGGGACAACGGCGGGTGTAGGTAGCGGGTGCAGAGGGGAGGTATGGCAGAAGAGAGCTTGCCATGTGGATGTATATGTCATGGATGTGGTCTTTGGGTGGTGTCCAGGACTCTGGCTGTGGTGGTGGCGCCAGTGTAGCCTTAATTGGGGTGCACTTCTAGGTGGCTTCCGGGCGGCTGGAGAGGGAGCGTGGGAGCGTTTCCTCGGCTGGGCTGGAAAAATGTATGGAGAACATGTATAGCCATGGCGATGGGAAGAAGAGAAGCCCAGAGAAGGAGAGGGTATAGCAAGAGGGAGGGAGTGGGAGGGGGAGATGAAGGGGGCTAGGGTATTGGGTGGCTCTTGGTGGACATGGCTAGAGTCGCGGGAGTGGGGGCGGGGAAGTGGAAAAGGCTCCCTCGGGGTGGCGTACATTCAACAAGCGCGGGAGAGAGGTTCAACCGTCAATTCGAACACTTTGGTTTGGACGGTCTCTTGGCTGGTTGCCGCGCCCCCCCCTCCCCATTAATGGCAACGAATCCAATGATTCATATTGATTGAAGAACCTTACATTCATGGAACCTCCCCCCACACACATCCTTCCTAGCCTTCCAAAGATGTTGGAGACTCTACCGATGATGCCCATAATCCAGGTGGTGGTGGATAGGAGGGGAGATGGGATACACGACATACGGCATGTTGTTCTGTTGCTTCTGCCGCCAAGACAAGGTCCGTGTCGGGTAGGGACACCGTGGCGCTGCCAGGCTCGGGTCGTGACAAAGTTGATGCGTTGCGGCGTCGTTGGCGGTGATTCGGCGCATTCACGCGTCGACGATGTTCTCAACCACCTGTCGTTGCTATAGGCAAGACTTGCACACACACGCATACACGGCAACGATGGTCAAGGGAGAACGGTCCGTGAGCGGCTACACCAACATGGCAGACAAGGCCGCGGACAAGTACATTCAGGTCCGCAAGATTGGCGCCGGCGCCTTTGGTGAGGTTCACGTCGTTGTGTTGCGTGACGACGTCGCAGGCGACGGCCGGCCGCGGCTGGTGCGCAAGACGATTCCACTTGCAGGCGGGTGTGGGAGCGGGCGGCGCGACAACAAGAAGACAGAGGCTGCAGAGGCGGCACGCGAGGTGCGACTTCTCGCCCAGCTCGACCATCCGCACATTGTTCAATTTGTCGAAGCGGTGCGGAATGCCGAGGCCATGCAGATCGTGATGGAGTACTGCCCGGGCGGGGATCTTGCGGGCGTCATTGCAAAGGCACGCAAGGCGCGGGCGCCGCAAGTCGGATTTTCTGAGGCGCGCATCATGCGGTGGACGTGGCAGATCGGCTCGGCGCTCGAGTACCTCCACGCCCGGCGCATTCTCCACCGCGACCTGAAGGCTCACAACGTGTTTGTCACTGCGAGCGGCGATGTCAAGCTCGGCGACTTTGGCATTGCGCGCCGCCTAGCCTCTCACGACTTGGCATCGACCATGATCGGCACGCCACTGTACATGGCGCCCGAGGTGCTGGCCGGCAAGCCGTACGGCTTCAAGTCGGACGTCTGGTCGCTCGGCTGCATCGTCTATGAACTTGCTTCGTTCAAGCACATTGTGTCGGCACGGTCGCTGCCCGAGCTGCGCGCCAAGGTCCTCCGCGGCGCCATTCCGGGCATTGGGCCACAGTACTCCCGCGAGTTTCGCTGCCTTGTCCGCAGCCTGCTCTCGCGGAGTGTCGCGTCGCGGCCAACTATCGCCAAGGTCATGCAGAGCGACGCAGTCCGCACCTGGGCACCTGCTCCGCTCCGGCGATCCAAGTCGGAACCGGCCCGAAACATTGTCTCTCGCGTTGCTGCGCCACGGGCTAGACGGCGGGCGAGCCTCAGCGGCGGGAGCGTGCCCGGCTGTGCGCCGGGTCGCGCGGCTAAAGCCGCAGCCGTAGCCTCCGCGCAGCAGCCTGTTCCGGATCCGCCGCAAAACGCGCGAGATGCGGTTCTCGCCCGCAAAGAGGCCCGGCGGCGTGCTGACGAGGCCGCGAGGCTGGCGGATCTGGAGGCTGCCCGCCGCGAGTACTTTGAAGAACGGATCGATGCCCGGGCCCGCAAGTGGGGCGCGCAGCCGCGCAGCCGTCGTCGGCGACAGTGGATGCCGCCGCAGCCAACACCGCGCCTTCCGGTCATCGCCGACACCCGCGCGCCGTCGCCGGTTGTGGCGTGGGAAGCGGCCGAGCCCGTCGGAGAGCAGCTAGTCCAGCCGGAGCCAATCTCAAGCGACCGGCGGCCGCGATATGCACCATCAGCGGCGCCAGACTCGCCGTCGGCGTGGGCTGAGTTCCCGGCTGTCGCCGGACGGCTCCAGTCGCGAGTGCAGCAGCTGCGACATCGACTCGCGAGCCTCGTGGGCAACAACGCCAGCGTTGTCGCCGAGCGCGCCATGTGCAGCCTGGCGCCTGAAGCGGTCTCGACTCTCGGCCTGCACGCGCTCGACGACCCAGGCATTGCTGCCATTGTGACCGGGGCGCGGACGCCGGCAGCGGCCGAGAACGCGCTCGAGGTTGCCCGCCAGCTACGGTTCTTGCAGCTGTATGTGTCGTGAGACTCGCGAAAGAGAGCATTAGACAGAGCGGAAGCCCATAAAGGCAGCAAAGACAGCGGGTGCAAAGAGGAGTTCGACGTGGTTGTAGCCAAAGGCGTGTGCGCCGGCCACGAGGTGGTCCGGGTAGCCCGAGCCGACCGCCGACGAGACGGTAACGAGCATGTCGCCGGAGCGGCTCGTCGCCGACCGCGGCTCGGCGTCGACCAGGGCAGCCTCGGAAGGGACGGCGTCGCGAAAGACCAGACCAGCAGGCGTCGGGATGCCATCGCCGTAGAGCACCAGCTGGCGGACGCCGTGGATGTCTGCCGCAGCAGCCTGCGCCTTGCGCATAGCTCGGCGCGAGTCCATGGCCCGGTCATAGAGATTCCGCCGAAAGGCAGTGGCGCCGAGCTCGGACGTTGCCCGCTCGAGCAGTGCCACAATGTCGGCGTCATTAGTGAGCCGAACCGGACGCTGGCCCTCGAGCTGGTAGGCAAGCCAGGGCGCTTGATCGTCGCCCCAGGTGGCGCCAGGCACCGCAAGCGTCTCGTACAAGATCGGTGCCTTGATGGCCATGTTGCGGACAACCTTCGGTCGAGGAGCGGAATCTGGAAGTTGTACCCGCTGAGCGCGGCCTGCAACGCCTTGACCGGCGCGCCATTGAACGGCACGCCGATGGCGGTCCAGCTCTCAACAAGCTCTGCAGCGCGGTGTGGAGAGAAGGCCAGGAAGTACTGGGCTACAAGGCCGCCATACGAGTGGGTGATAAGATCAACCTTGGCTCCGTCGGCTGCTTCGACGGCCATCTCGAGAGAGCGCTCAAAGGCAGCCTGGGTCGAAGGCGCCCACGGCGCCTGCCGCCAGTCGTACGGCGCGCCAAACAGCGTTTTGCCGCGGGTGTAGCCGACGCGCTCAAGCCTGGCAATGAACGAGGCGTAGTATGGGACAAGGCCGCCAAGCGGGCCGACTCGACATAGGTGCTCGATAGCAGCGAGGCCGGCATCGCCTTCCTCGGGGCGGATGGTAAATTCGCCGTCGACCTCGCCGTGTGAGACATACTCGCAGGCGTCCCAGTCGTAATCGCCGCCGAGGTACTTTGTAAAGTGCGAGTTGAACTCGGTGAGTGAGAGATAGACATCGCGTGGGACGCCGGGAACCGATGACGACGACGACGACGGTGGGTACGCCATCAACCGCGAGCCGCCGACGCCCGGGACAAGGACGACCGGGCGCGGCGGAGGAGCGTTAGCTAGCGTCCCCAGCCACTTTTGCTCGACCGACTCGTCAAAGGTGTGCGAGACAAAGCGTGGGAGCATGGCGGCGGCAGCCTTGAACACCTCCAGCTCCTCGGCGTCGAGGCGAGTGGCCCGGGCAAGGTAGCCGTCGATGCGGGCGCGGGCGGTGGCAACGGCCTCGCGCGCCTCGGCTGGCATGGCCGCTGCCGAGCTGAGCCGATCCAAGAACCGTGAGGTCTCGAGCGCCTCGCTTAGCGCCGCAGGGCGCGGCGCAGCCTTGTGGACTGCCAGCAGCATGGCCGAGACCCGCGCGCGGGCATCGGCAAGCGCCGGGTTTCCCGCCGCCGCCGACGACGCAGACTGCAGGCCAGCAACCAGCGAGGCCAGCCGAGACCGCAGCTCAGCACCCACCGCAGCCTTGCCGACGTCGATCCTGTCCGAGAACGAAGCCCAAGCCGCAGCAAGAGCCGATCGCGGTGCTTCAAGCGCGCCCGGGCGCTCGCCCAAGAGGGTGAAGAGGGTGCCTGGCGCCGCTGGCGTATCCTCCACCTCGAGCGTGTCTGGCAGCGCATCGGCCAGAAAGTGCGGCACATTGTAGCTTTGCGAGCTTTGTACGTCATCGGCGGAGGAAGGAGGAGCAGGAGAAGGGCGATCGGAGAGAGACGACGGGGGCGAGGTGGGAAGGGACGGAGCGGACGGGGCGGCGGGGAGCTGCGGCAGCGTCGTGCTCCGCCTCTGTGCAGCTAGTGTGCGGGCACACGCTGCGGCTGTTCGCCACCACACCATTGCCCTTCCTAGGCGACGGCTGGTGAGGGGTGAGAGGGGGGTGAGGGGTGGGGTGCGAAGAGGGGGGAAGGGT